TGTATATGAAATATAATGTTACTTGTTCTAGTATCGTTGTATATGTTCTCTTAGTAATATGTATTGACTCCTGAATGAACTGACTCGTTGATCTAGAAATTGTAGTAGTATGATCCCGTGTTACCCCGATGGTAACTTACTAATGATGTGCTGATAAGTATGAATATGGAAGTACTTTTATGTCTATACATGTATATATGATATATAACTAATATTGAAACGACCCTCGGATGGTCACCCGAAATTCCACCAGACCACATCCAAATCGAGGAAAAGGAAATAGGACAGGTGGCTTTCCTAAGCCCTTTAAACATTATTTATACAGCTATACATATATGGGCATGCAAATTTATAGGTAGTAAAACAAAGTTTACAATAAAGCATTTGATAAGTAAAAGAGTTTGTAAAACATTTTGAAGTAAAACAGTTTGAACAGTGATAAAATCATTGGTTTCCTAGTTATTAATCACATGTGATTAATGCAATCACATGTGATCGAAGCAATAACTATAAGTGTTTAACTTGTATTCCCCCCATAAAGTATTTAAAACATTTAAAAGCATTTCAAAGGTTGAATAAAGGGGTATGAACTCACTTGGGAGTTTGAAGATAGCGAGATCGAAAACCGGGCAGAGTTTCGTCTCGGGAAACGGATTTTTCTCGGGATTCTCGGGAGTAAAATCGACTTTCGGGACTTGAGCAAAAAGACCATAGCTTCGGGTTTGAACGGGCACGGAAATCGAGGCAAGATCGTGAGAGAAAGAGAGAAAATGAACAACTTTTTCGGAAAGGCTCGCATCCCTTTTATAGGGGTGCTGAACCGCCTCCGAACGCGGGGCGTACGGGCGTACGCAGTGCGTACCCGTACGTCATCGCTTACGTATTTCGGATGGAGCGGGTCGGATGGGACGGCGGGTCGGGTAGCTTCGCATAGGGCGACGTGGACGATCCGAGGCCGTGCCCTCGAGTACGCGGCGCGTACCCCGGCCCTAGGCTGACTCCTCTTCGGATAATATCGAATTTTTAATAAAAATTATATATAAATTATTTATCAAACTTCAAAAATTCATATCTCCTTCATACGAACTCCGTTTTCGACGTTCTTTATATCCCCGCGAAGGTGAGACTACGATCTACAACTTTCGTTTAGATTCCGTTGGAAAATTCCGAAATTATTTTTATTATTTGTTTATTAAAATGACGTGATTAAGGAATTTCTTTAAAAATTCATAACTTCTTTATCTGACGTCGGTTTTTGCCAGACTTTTTACCGTTCAAATACTATTGTCGAGACCTTCGATTCTCGTTTAGGTCATCCCGGCCAAATGTCGCTCGATCTCCGTTTCGAGTTTTTAGCTGTCTGTTGCTAAGCTGAACTTGGAAAAATCATAACTTCAATATACGAAGTCGGATTTGGGCGTTCTTTTTACGTACGATCATGGTTTAATGAGATTTAAACATAGAAGAATTTAAATAGAAACTTTTTGGACATTTTATTATCAAAGTTAATTTTATTAACTTAAAAATGTTTACAATACTTGACCTATTAGGCCATTACAAAGAGTTGAAATATCGGGTTGTCACATATAAGTTAGGAAACCTTAAAGCCAGATTTCCGTCACCAATCCAATTGTCAAGCCAAAACAGGGTATTCTGCCCTGACCCAATTTTGGTTGATATGAAATGATAAAAGTCGAGGACCATCTCTCCCAAAATTCTCGAAATATATATCAGATTATTCCAAACACCAGGGATAGATCTCTTCACAATTTAATATATTAAAAATAATGAATCGACAGTTTTAGAACAAATATAACAACGCAAACGACATGAACCAAAAACTCCAAAAAGTGTGTATCATTTTTCAGTAGACGAATCAAATTTGTAGAAACTCTCTCTAAAAGTAAAAGCCTAGTCTTGTATGAAATTTACGAGAAACCCTCAAATCTAAAATTTTATCTTGTGTTATAAATACAGTCTGAGTGTTTTATAGTTGTTCAACATTCCAAAAACCATGTCGAACCTTCTCCTCTCTCTTTCCATATCCCTCCTATCTCCTCTTTTCTTCATTTCCATGGATGATCAATCAATTGATTTAAGTTACCCCAACTACGAGGGGAACTAGAAATTTTTAGATGGGGATACAAAAATTATCAATAAATATTCTATGTAGTTATTATATTTAGAGCATTAAAAAATATGATATAATCTTTTTAGCTGTGGGTACAATATCATAGAAAATGCTTATAAATAATTTTTTTATATATAAAATTACATAAAAATTACATGTAAGAGTATATAATTAATTAAGGGTTGTATTTGGAAAATTAAAAAAAAAACTCTTAAAAAACTAGTCTAAGTAGTTTTTCAAAAACCTAGTTTATAAACTACTTTTGCTTACCAAACACGAAACATAAAAAAAACTCGAAAAATTAATTTAGCTTATCAGATAAGTATGATGCGCCAGACACAACCTTAATGAACAAAAAAATAAAATAAATAAATAATCAATAATAAATAAACAATGCAATAACAGACTTCTCCACATGTTATAAATACAACCCAGTGTTTGTACTCGTCGTTTCAAGTTTAACATTCCGAAAAACATGTTTTGCCTTCTCCAGTCACTTTCTTCCTCTCTCCTCCTCCTCAGCCTCTTCCCCTTCTTGTTCTTTATCTCCATGGCCGATCAATCTAATGTTACGCGTTACCCCAGCTGCTTTTCATACAGTTGCGCAAACATCACAATCAGTTACCCTTTTTGGAGGCTCGACAGTGAAACCCCTACCCAGTTCTGCGGTTATGAAGGTTTTGGGATCAATTGCTCCAACAATGTTCCAGTTCTTTATTTCGGAAGCGATTCTTATTATATCGCTAGCATAAGCTACGAATCTAAGAGTATTGTCCTTGTGGACTACGACGTTTCTCCCGTCGTCCCCACCGTCGCCTGCCCGAGGGTACGCCATAGCATTGATTGGGGAGATTCGCCTTTCAATTTCTGGGGGCAAAACGTTAACCTAAGTTTTCACTTTAATTGCACCGGAGTACCAGATTTTGCAAGAGAAATACCGTGTTTGAGTACCTCTACTAATAAGTCGTGCGTTAATGGTTTGAATTACGAGCCGGAGAATTTCAGTTGGACTGTGTACTCCTGCGATGATGAGGTGGTAACAACGGTGTTCGATGTATTCAGTTCAACAATGGCGCTGGAGACGGAGTTCAGTAGTGCCTTAAGACAAGGATTTGAGCTAAAATGGGGGAGGATGGAGGACTGCCAAAAGTGTGAGGAGTCCGGTGGGCGCTGCGGTCATAATAACAGTACGACGGAGCTCATGTGTTTTTGCTCCGGTGGTGCGATCACTATGGCTCATTGTAAAGGTACCTTCGTTGAAACTCCTCGCTTCATGTTAAATTCCATATCTACCCCTGTTAAAACAGCAAATTTACATCTTCGGAAGACATTATCAGCCGTGGGCCGTGGCAAAATTATATCGGATAATCTGGAAAAAACTTTTGCTAGTTAATAACACTAGTAGTTTCAACCGACTTTTTTTTTTTTTTTTGATGCTAAAATTAAAATTAATATTTATATGTTATAAATTACAATGTTTATTATGTAAATGAGAAAAAAAATAGGAAACTATTATTATATAAATAAATTTAACTTTAATAATAATATTAATAACCCATTCCATTTTCATATAATTTATCGTAAACTTTAAATTCAAGTTAAAATTGAATAGTCAACGATACGAAAAGTCAAAACTAGCAAGCTAGACGTTTTTTTTAAGGGAAAATGACTTATAAACCTAACGAAGTTTTCAAACCGTTCAAAAAACTCAATTATGTTTTGTCTGTTCAAGAAAACCCAACGAACTAACATTCTGTCTAAAAAAGCCCAACTAACTTATACTTTGTTCACTTCTTATTTAGGGTCAACCGGCTAATAAAAATCAACGAATGACATGGCTTATGATGTGTAATTAAATATCAGAAAATGACTTGTAAGACCAACGAAGTTTCAAATCCGTTCAAAAAACCTCAATCATGTTTTGTTTGTTGAAAAAAACCCAACGAACTTATGCTTTTGTTCAATTCTCATTAGAGTCAACCAAATTCATTATGTATACAACTAGTTGGCAAATGACATGACATTATATTTAATAACATGAAATAATAGATTTGAATTACGCTTTATATATCGATTTAGGGTTTAAACGGTGTTTGTGTTCAAACTCTTGTAATAGCTACTTCTTATTCTTTCTCTCAATCGTTGATGTCCAACTCAATATCTACAAAGAAGATATTTGATGATGAAAACCCTTGTGGATGTGGACGCTCTTCTTGGATTTAGGCATCTAGAACGAAGGATCATCCAAAAAAAAGTTTAGGGCTAAATCGATATATAAAGGGCAATTCTAATCTATTTATTCCATTTCATTAAATATAATGTCATGTAATTTTCCAACTAGTTGTATACCAAATGAATTTGGTTGCCTCTAATGTGAATTGAACAAAAGCATAAGTTCGTTGGGTTTTTTTCAACCAACAAAACATGATTGGGGTTTTGTGAACAGTTTTGAAACTTTGTTGGTCTTACAAGTCATTTTCTGATATTTAATTACACGTCATAAGTCATGTCATTCGTTGACTTTTATTAGCCGGTTGACCATAAATGAGAAGTGTAACTTAGTTGGGCTTTTTAGACAAAATCTTAAATTCGTTGGGTTTTATTGAACAGACAAAACATAATTGGGGTTTTTTGAATGGTTTGGAAACTTCGTTGGGCTTATAATTCATTTTCCCTTTTTTTTAATAGTAGTATCTCTCTCCATGGAAATTTCAAGCTACTAGCCTACCACACTTCTATTGACCATCCATACCTTCAATTTATCTGCCCAATCTTCATCTCAACCTCTACATCTTTTCGACGATGTTTCCTTTACTCATCATCTTCATTCTATTCCCAATTCTTTCTCTCGCAAACATTCAGCAATTTTATGACTGTTCAACTGGGCTCTACACTTGTGGTCAGGCAATCTCATATATTAGCTATCCGTTTTGGGGAAATGGTCGTCCTTCTTACTGTGGTCTTGAGGGATTCGGTTACTTGCAGAGAAGACAACGTCACCACTCTCCAAATCGTCAACACAACGTTCCGGTACATTGTGTTTAGTTACGCTCCCGATGATTCTCTGATTCTAGGGTTACACTTTTCGTGTCCGGAGGATGTGGTTAGGTCTACTCCGAATAGGAACAGATTTAATTGTTCTGGTGAGGAAGACGATAGTTTCTTTGACAATCAACGCACTACTGTAGTGGAGTGTTGTGAGCGTGTGATTGAAGTGAGGGTTTCGAGTACTGCATATGATCAGTTTAACCGGAGTGAAATGATGCCGTTGGAGAAGTTGTTTTGGATGGGTTTTTTTTAATGGAGTTTAGGCTATCCGGAGTCGATAAAAACCAACGCGTGAAACGCCTACGTGGCATCCAAAGGACCCGTGAGCACCACCCCAAGAGCTGGTGACTTGGGCGTGGCCTGAGTGCAAAGACGAAGCAAGACGACCAATAGGAAATATGTAGCAGCACCAACGTTGCTTTGCTTCCTTTACTTTTTTTATTGAAGTTACATCTATGGTCCCTGGAAATATTTTTTTATATCTTATTATACCCTTATACTTCTATTTAAATTAAATTAAACCCTCAGCCCCACACACAGATAAATCACTATATTTTAAATAACAAATTAAGTGTATTATACTAATAATTAGACAATGAAAACTTTAACTATATATATATATATATATATATATATATATATATATATATATATATATATATATATATATATATATATATATATATATATAACATAATGTTAAGAAAATAAAAAAATAAAAAAGTGAATGATGTTAGTGGTAACCATTTCCATAGTGGAGTGGGTTGGTGGTGAAGGTGACGTGGCGCAGAAGTGGCACCACTTTTCCGGTGAGTTTGTAGTGACCACTCCATATAACTTAGGGTGGACGGCGGAAGAAATTTCTTCTGGTGGGACGTGTTGGTCCAATTTGGATTCCTCCAGCCCTTCTTGCATTTGCCTAGCTCGATGATGTTTCCTGCTTGGTATGCTGTTTAGATTTGTCGGTTGCTTAGTTTTCACTGATATTTCTGTAGATTTTTTAATTTGCAGTTGATAAAAAATAACGATGACTAAGTTTACCAACTTACTTGTCTAACGTAGAATGTCGAGTACAAATATGAACAAAACGGTGCGTTGAACTCCACAAAAACCTTTTAATATAATTTTACCAAACTCCTATTTATGTGAGTTTTTTTTTTTTTTTTTTTTTTTTTTTTTTTTTTTTTTTTTTTTCTACATCCAGTTATGCATCAAGTATTAGATCAGTGGCGGATCCAGATCAATGTAAGGGTATCCCAATAAGTAAATGGGTATCCCTGACAAAAAAAAAAAATCGTATAATACACAGTAAAGAAAAAAAAAATTTCAAAAAAAATTACACTACTAAATTTTTTTAGGGGTATCCCGGGCTACCCCAATAAATGTAGTAGATCCGCCTATGTATTAAGCTATCTGATGTACCTACACCACTAAGACCAAGGTGGATGTCGAAACTCTCCTCACACTTTTTCCATCTCACATGATTCTTTTTTCTGCTTTTCTTTCTCTTACCAAAAATCATGGAAAACTTTTTATTTTTTGTTTTTTGTTTTTTGTTAAATAAAATTAATTGATTTTGATGATTTATAAAATTTTAAATGAATAATAAATATAAATTTTAATTAAAAATAAAAACCAATTCATTAATTAAAAATAACATTAAAAGATACATTCAAATAAGCAATATCAAAAATAAAATAAAAAACTACTAGAGAACAACAAATATTAAAAAACTAAAACCTAGAAAACCTAAATAATATCTCAATTAAAAAAAACAAAATACGCCACTCGTAATCACTATCCTTGGCATCGACCTCATCGTTATTGTCGTTCTCATCAATGTCATTTTCGTCATCCGAATCCTCGCTCTCGACGAATATATCCGAACCATCATCTGATTCGTCAAACAAATCATCGCACACACTCTGTCGGTGGTTGAATATAAGCCCTATAAACATGCTCCACAAAATCAGCATGAATGGCGTAATGAATGTCGCGATTATGTGCTTATCTTCTATTTGCCTTATACTCTTGCGTATCAACAACTACTTTTTCGACATTTGACAAAACTTTGTTTTTTTTTTTTTTTTTTTAATTTTTTTTTTAATTTTTTAATTTTTTTATAGACATATCGCTCTTCCTTCATCTAGAATCATATTATGCATATGATGAATGCATACATTACGTGTTGCAACATTTGTCACTTCATATGACCATATCCCGACTGCTAGTATTTGCCAACCTTCTCACTTCATTTGGCACCACCATTCCCGCACCGACGGTGGGCTGTTCCGAAGAGCAAGAAGAACTCCCGCACTCCT